ATATATATATATATCATGTATTGCATGAAATAGAGTTTGAGTAGAAAATATATGTCTAAGGAAAACTTTTTATAAATATAAATATGTAGATCAAATAAAAAAAAAACTTGGCAGAAAACCAATATTCTGTTAAAATAACAAACCGAAATCTATTTCTTTTTTATTCAATGATAGGAAAAGTTTTCAAAGTTGCGGACTACTGTTTTTGGAATTTCAAATATCGGAATAAACTTACAGTGTCTGATTACATGAAAGTAAAAAAAAATTGACCTTAGTTTTTACAGTATTTACCTTCCTTTTTTTCCATCTAAAATTTAACTTCCGATTTTTCCAACGTATTTAAGTTTTGCTAGCATTAATTTTGCTTTTTAAATGCGGAATTTTCTTTATCTAATAAAAACAAACAAGATACAAGTTGTAAGATTGGTGTTATTAAATTTAAAATGGCTGATTTGCCTATTAAAGACTGCATTTTATTATTACAAGCAATTAATTTTTAATAACCGTAACAGCCTTTTAGGGATAATGAGAGTTTAGTCTTAATACTTATAGTTCACAACAAAATAATAAATAAATGAGTTAGTCGAAAGACTTAGCTTGTCTGTCAACAAATATGATTGGCTTTCGTGGCAGTAAATTTGAAATATTGGAAAAAAAATTTCGACAAAGTTTCTTCTCTCTGGAGCTCTCAAATATTTACAAGATTTCTTTTAAGGAAAATGCAAGATTCAATAGTTTACTAGCCACTAAAACAGAATTTAATGTCTCTCTGACACCAAATTTTCCAATTAAATATCCTATTTTTTTCTGTTGGCTAGTTAGTTTTGCCTTTCCTACCGAGCTCAGTAATTAGCCAACATCCATGTGGTAACCTGTGAGTTAAAGTGCCATATTTAACTGTTGTCAGCGTGGTATCGTTTGATAACCAGTGTAATCTGCTTCCAACTGCCACTAGTCGTTGTCTTATATTGGATTAATACTACCAAAATAATATTTTGAATGCACTTTATATGTTTTGTAACACAGAGAGTCATTTTCCTCCGATTTATAAATGAGTAAGGAGCGTCATTTGCAGTGCAGGCGATAAAAGTATAATCTAAATATGAGTCTAATTAGTGTTACGTTGGTTTGGGTGTTGACCATTGTCTTAAAATTTATCATTCTGAATTAAATCATTGAAATATTCCTTAATTAATTAAAATTGCATTTTTGTTTATAATACTCACAAAAATCTTCAAATATTCCCTTCTGAACATCAACTAACCGACATGGAATATGTGTATTGCAGTGCACATAACAGCCATAAAAGGGTTAATTACTTAAAATTTAGGGATAGATTACAACAAAAGTTTTGCAAGTTTACGGTGTGATGTAAGCCACATTTGTCTTACCATTATTTTAAGAAATATTATCTGTAATCGATTGAAATTTAAATACGTAATTACTAGCCTGAGTGTTTACATTTTAAGACGAGGTCTGTGCTTTAATACCAAAGAAAGTTAATTTTTTTTTTAAAAAAAATAATGCTTGTAAGATGTGTCGCCATTTTGTTGCTAATAAAAATAATTTCCACCACGTTTCAAATTAGCAAACACAATAAAACGAAACTAAGTGTTGAAGAAATAAAAAATTTAGAAATTACAATCTTTTAATCTACACTTAATTAAACGGTAAGCGAATTGCAGAACAAACTTTGATTAAAATCAATAGTTCTTTCACCTCTTTCATAAATAATGATTTCGTAAGCGACTTCATAAGTGCTTTTCTTTTCTTGTTTTAAAACGAAATTAATTTTCCCTTCTATGCGTTTTTTTTAATCACTTGCTTCAAAATCTAGTGCTTAAAATATATATCATATCTTGTTACTTTAGTAGTGAGTGAAGCATAAAAACTAGAAAATATAAATATGTAAAAATCACAACAAAAATATTTAGACATTTCACAAACACTAGATATTTTTATTCATATAATTCTTTTAGTGTTGATAAGATAATTTAATTACACTCCACTATTGAAAAAGGCAGTTTGATTTTAATTATCCGCGAATATATATTTCCATTCAATGTCTTTTGCGAGGATTCGATGTAATTATAAAATACATTTTATACACGGAAATTCTGGCAAAATTTAAGTTTCAGTTCATTTGGTAACGGATTTTCGGAATATTTGTTTTTCAAAATTATAGCTTTTATTACCAGGCATTTAGTAAGACATATAAAACTTAAAAGTAAATTTGACCGAATAAATTTAATTTTTTACCGAATTTTTTAAGCCGAATTAAACCAATTAAAATGATAAAATAACAAAATTTCATTACATTTAACAAATTTTATCAAACATTATAAAGCTATATTTTACTGTTAATTTTAACAATATTATTACCGCAACACTTTGGTAAAAATTATGGAACTCTTAGTTGTTTTCATAGAGCTAGAAGTAAGGTAAATATTATTATATTCTAGTAGTTTTGAAAATACTTTTTTACTTAATATATTTATCTGAATATTTCTAACATACTATAAATTTGAAATATATTGTGCTTTGAATTTTACGTTAGATAAGATACTTAAAACTTCACAGTTAAAAAATTTATATTTGTCTTTCAAATACTAATAAGTCAAAATGTAAAAAAATGAATAACTAGAATTTATAAAAGGTGCTTTCGATGTCAACCAGATTACAAAATTATCTAAATCGAAGTTAACCTAAACAATAAAGTGATTCAAAAATTTTCGATATTAATTTCCTGTGTTATGTTATACACTAAAAGTTTATGAAAATGTGAAAAAACTTAACTCTGACGCAAGTCTATTTTTAAAGTTTAAAGCTTTACGAAATTTCAAAAAAATCAAAGTCTGTTTTTATTTCGGACCGTGAAACATTTAATTAACAAACTAACATAATTTAAAATTAATTAACATAATTTAAATAACATAATTAATTAACATAATTTAATTAATTGACATAATTGATTAACATAATTAATTAACATAATTTAAAACATTAATTAACATAATTTAACTCATTAATTAACATAATTTAAAAGTGCAGCAAATAAAATAATTTATATTTGATTTTAAAATTACATCCATCATGAAACAGGTTAAATTAATGTATTATAATTAAATAAATAGGTTCAAAATTACAATCCATCGAGCACGCACGCTTAAGGAAATATTTGTAGGAACGGAGCAGGTGTGAAATGTTGAATAATGTATAATTTTCAACAACTAGGTTAAATTTGAAACGTCTTGTAATATAAGTTATTATGATTCCATGAAGTATATTTTAGATATTCAATTGATTTATTCATATTTTAGTAACTTGTATTTTCACATATATTCACAAAATTTGCAATGCGTGGGCTATAAAACATTCTGATTAATTTATTTTCAATGAAATACTTTAAAGATCAATAGTTGAAATTTACATCTTCGGTATTTATGTCTGTGATAACATATGTTAGTATCTGTTATTAACCCTTTCTGGACGCGTAATTCATAAAAACATTCGTAAGAAATCAGAATCAGGATTGAAAAATTAAGAAGTGGTAGCTTAAATGCTTGCATTCTAGTTTGTCAAACTGATTTTGTTTTCACTTTAAATAATGTTAGATCAAAGTACAATGGTGTATTTTTTTTATTTTAAACTAAATTGTAGTTAATTAAGTAAATTAAACTTTTATAACTCCGTCCACCAATAAACTGCTAATGAGTCAGTTTGTTTACCAGTTTTATCTTTTCACCCTGATTGATAATATTTCATGATTGCACGCATGATTGCATCAACCGATACTGAAATCCTGACCTATGTTACTTCACGTTGACAATCAAGCTACAGCCATCCACAGATTACAGCAAATTGCTCTTATTATTTTAATTTTCTTTCAGTTATACAAGCAAGGTGCTTGTCTCCCTGTAACAGCCACCCCATAGACTGCTGAACTCAAACTGTCTTTTATTTTAACTTTTTATACCATTTCATGATGCATGGGATATGGGCCTTCTGCGCGGCCCAGGTGCCCAATTTATAAATAAAGAAAGATAGAAATGATTGCATCAAAGGATTGAATAACCAAATTTGTAATGGTTACAGAAGAGTTGAAAGATAATATTGTTACACATGACCATGAAATTCAAGGAAACGGAAAAAAAAGATTCTCAAGATTCCGTTAGAGATTAACTAGAGCTTTTGATTATGAATTATTTTAATTTATGGATTATATTGCAATTAGTGTTTTTCTGATAATACCCTTCTTAATTTCTTCTTAGAGTCACCGTTTTTCTTGCTAATCTTGATAATTCCCCCATTTCCAATTTAAGAATTTCACAGTAAAAATCATGTTTGTTTAAGAAATTACAGGTGTTATCAGTTGAAAATTTCGAAATTCTGAGATTTTATACGTAATCGTAACAGCTTTCTAATCGTATTTAATTGTATATTTCAGAGCATACCTTATAATACAACACCATATAGAATTTGCAGTTCTTCAAAATAATATATTCAATAGGAACTTATATATTGGCGAAGTTATTTCATAATCACATAAGTTGGCTCGTTAATTTTCTATTCACTACGTAAAGGCACTATATGATGGCAAGGTTCTTTTAAAATTGCTGTATGTTGGCAAAATTATTTTATACCTAAAATCACACTGGAATTGAAAATGCTGATATATGCATTGAAAATATAGCTGGTGTACTTTGTTTTCTGAAGTTTTTAAATATGTATGAGATAAATCATCTTCTTCTGCTTCATATCAAATGGATTAAGTTTTTTTAATCTAAAATTCTCCTGGCTTCCATTTTTAATTCTGTTTCCTGTTCTCAATCTTAAGTCTTCATCTAAAACGAAATATATTACATTTAATATATTTTATTTGAATTTAAACGTTAATGTAATAACATTTATTTTTTAAATTTTGGATTGAAAACAGTAATGAATCGAAGTCATCTTTCAGAAAATGTTAAGAGTCAGAACATATTGAGTCATTTATATAGCAACTAATGTAAATTTTCCTATAAGAGTCATAATGTTATCTGAATTATTTATTGTAATTGCACATTGCACATTAATCCAATGAAATACAAGGGGAAAGTATAAATATGAATATGATGATTACATGGAGAAAAAACATTCTGCTAAACATATAGTACTGTATGGCAATGACATTGATGGCTATTCTGTTCAATAAGACCAATAAATAGGGTATTGAAACCATTCATTTAGTAGTTTTTTTGTCTGCATGGTAATTGTTTACCGGAAATTCTGGTTTCAAAATTATAAATTTTATTCTGAATTTAATACTGATGACCAAATTGAACCGAGTAAACGGTTTTGATGCCATGCTCTAAGGTTTCATAATAAAACTTCCAAATTGTCTCACATATTATGTAACCATATTTTGTTGATTTTACTAAATTCTTTTGAAAAGCGTTTTGTTAAAAATTAACCGAGTTTCTTGGTGAAACCACGGATCCGGAAACACAGTTAGTTTTGCATATTTTGGTAGTTTCAACCATTCTTTATTTCTCAGATTAAGTTGAATAATATGTTTAGGAAGAGATTATAACATTGTTTAAGTTGGATACATTTCATAGACTTTTTACTGGTATTGGTACTTGACAAAGGAAGCTATCAATTGTTATGGATACCTATTAATGGAGTTTTTAAACCTTGTTTGCACATACTATTTCGTCATGTATTACAATTACTTTGGATTTTGTTTTATTTGATTTAATGACATAGTATGATATTCTTGTAATAGTTAACCTTCGCGACTTTATTCTCTGGAACTAAAAGTTGAAAAAAGTAGTTTTGATTAACAGCAAAGCAGTGAAAGTTTGACAACAAAAAGATCGTATCCTATCAGCTAGCATTTATAATAACATTGAAGATGCATAGTGAGAAAATTGAATGCTAATTTTTAACAGCTCCGTTTTATATAAATATAACGGAGCTGTTAAATATATATTATCTATAATTATAATTAACCAATATATAATATTACAAAACAGATATATGTATATATATAGCATTATAGTAGTTTTGAAACTGATTTCAGAGCAGTTAAATTTTTATCGAGTGAACAAATTTTATTTGGAAAGTAATGAGATAAGTATTTAAATTATTATTTATTTATTGAACCAAATATTGATTTTCCATCGCCTTTCAATTCCAATAAAATACTCCAAACTATGGAATCCTTAAATAATAACTCTGGTCTAAATATGTGACTAAAATATCCCTTTTTTTATATTAGGTTATGTTGAAAACAAACTCGCTCACGATGCAAGAAAGAGAAACCTAGCACACGAACAACTTCAGTTAAACTGGATTTAAAATATATAACTAAATAATATATATAATTATACTTAGCAACGTACCTTTACCAATTACACCGAAGCCAAAATAGATAACGCTATAGGTTTAATCACTATCATCAAATGTTGGGGAAGCCATTTAGATGGTGTTTGCTTAATTAGAGCCAAAGGTCTTTTCGGTTTGAAATCTTTCTAGTAAAAATTAAGGGTTGTAAATGTTAAAAATGTTAGTAAACGTAAAATATTTCTTTGCTTTAAAAAGAGCTTTATGATAAGTAGCAGTAAAACCCTAAAATATATAATTATAAAATATATAAAAATAAAATATATAAATATAGAATATATAAATATAAGATATATAAATATAAAATATATAAATATAAAATATATAAAAATAAAATACATTAAAAATAAAATACATTAAAAATAAAATATATAATATAAACATAAAATATATAAAAATAAAATATATAATATAAACATAAAATATATAATATAAACATAAAATATATAAATTTAGATATAATTAATCACTTATTTTACAATCTTATGATGCTGAAAGATACAAAAATAAGCAATCAACTCTTTTAAATAATCAATTATTAATTAATTAATTGATTAGTTAATCATTATTAATCAATTTATTCATCAATTTATTAATTAAATCAATTAGCAAAGTAAACTAATAAAATAAATTACTCTTAAAATAATGATCTGATTTTCACTAAGTACTTAGTGAAATGTGAAAAGTATTTAGTGTAAATAATTAAGTTAGAAATCATGCAAAAACTATTTTTTTCAAAGAAAAATAAACTAATCGCTTTACTTTCATCAATAACAAGTAAAATTTAGACGCGATTTTAAAAAATATGATGTAATTTAATTTAGAAATTCGGTTTGAAGTTGGAGATACTTACCAACATTTTTAATTTTCCTGTATATTATTCCGTCTATAATTTACGTCCTCACTTGGACCTTATGCCATAAAACCTATACGAAATCAATCAATCAATCCGTATATAATTTAAATATAAGCGGGACTGAAATCCATTGTGCCATATTATTCTAATATCTTGCTGAATTTCAACAACTGCAAACTCTTTCAAGTTTAATCAAATTTCTATTAAGTGTAATCATTCTTTATTTGGATTATAAGATATCATTATTCAATTTGAACGAAATTATTTTTCAATTTAATACATTATTAAAGCGTGTTTTTAATTGTTTTAAACCGTAATCAAAACATAAGAAAAAAAAGAAGAGCAAAACGCGAAAAAATATACATCAAGAAAAAATCAGTATAATGGAACTAAACTGATTTCCCTTGCAGGTTTCAAAGATTTTGAGTCATCAGAAAAAAAAGTTTGCTTTTAATTAATCTCTGAAAAATTAGTTCAACTTGATACAATAATAACGGTACTTTCAGCTGAAACACACAAATAAAATTCTGGTAAAATTACATCATTACATGACAATGACACTTCCTATAAAAAAAATCATAATTCACTGGTTTAAAAAACCAAATCATAAGGTATTTAAACTCTTCATTTGAAACATTTTCCCTCTTTATAGTAACAGTTTACCAGAAATTCTGGTTTTGAAAATTATGGATCTTGTTACCACATTTTTAGTAAAAAAATTTTAAAAAATAAAACAAAATTTAACTGAATAAAGGGTTTTTCATACCACGCTAACAGTTATCATGATAAATCTACCGAATTCGACCACATTTACCAAATTTCAATGCATATTACAAAACCATATTTCGTCTTAATTTTACTAAAATCATTACCAATATTTACCGAGCTTTTTGACGTTCCATGGAGCCAGATACATGGTGATTTATTCCATATTCTAGCAGTTTTGATAATACCTGTTTTTTCCCAGTGCACGATTTAAATTTACTGCGATATGAATTAAGTATTGAATTTATTAATGTTACACAAAATAATTACATTAAAACAGGCCCTTATAAGGTGTAAGCAAGTTTAAAATATTTGAATATTTGTAATATACTTTAGCTTAGCACCAAATTAAATTTGCAACAAATTGGTTCAATATTATGATTCATTACGTTCCAGCATTTCATAATAAATCGAGAAATTGCAAGGAGGTTCAGTCAAGTTCTCGCGGTGCTCAAAACTTTCAATTTTCAACCTGGTGAAGATACTGGTTTAGATGTTTGTAGCCACTTTCCTCAAATGTTATTTCTCAAATCTCGAGAGCGTTTTTTGTTTTACTGTTTTTTAATAGATTTTTTTGAATCTCAATGTCCTTACTTTTCGTATTCAGTTTTACTAGGATTCTTTCTGGTGATAACGGAATACTTTGTTAATATTCTGCTGATAACGTAATAGTTAAGATATAATAATTATTGGAATTACCTTAAGTTTCAAGCTGCAATCGAATGGGCTTGGGTGCTTTTATACCCACCTACTTCCATAGTTAATAGTCAAATTTAAATATCATTTTTTAGCCGTTTTAATAAGGATTTTTGACCCTTAATGTGTATACACATTTGCCTCCTTTTCTTACTTGGATTCTAAAATTATATATTGATATTGGGTATAACGAACACTGTGCTAATAACGGTCAGTTGATAACGAAACATTCGATAAATAAAAATGATTGGTATCACTTTACTTTTCAATCTGAAATCAAGCCGGTTTAATTGTTTTGATATTCTTCTACCTCAATAGTAAATAGTCGAATTTTCGAAACGTTTTCCTGTTTTTTTTTTTTTTTTTTTTTTTTTTTTTTTTTTGTTAATGTTTTTTTGTCTTTTTTTATTTAACAATATAAAATGGATTCGTGGCTTTTAATGAGTATAGATCTTTGCTTTTTTTTTAATAAAATTCTAAAATGTATATTAAGGATAGTGATAACGGTACTCATTGTTAGTAACGGTTCGCTGATAATAAAGCACTTATTGAAACAGGAATAATTATCAGCAAGCATACATAGACTTAAGAACTTATATTCCCTGCAAGAACTGCACTGATATCCAACTTACCCCGGATCACATTCTCGAGTCCCCAGCCCTTACCCCATATGTTTTACAACTGGGTATGGTGCCACTGGCTTCAGAACTTCGTGAGATCCTCTACAGCAGGGGTCGCCAAACTTTTTAGATCATCGACCCCTATATAATTTTTCGAAATCTCCATCGACCCCCACAAAGGTAATTTTCTGTTAATTAAAATAAAACTCTATTAGATACTGTCTTTGTACATTTATTTTATGATTTTAAACATTTATTAAAGTAATAGTAATAGTGTAACAATAGTTTTATGAAAAATATATTAATATTGAAATTTAAATACCTTATTATTAAATAATAAGTAATTATGCATAAGTAGATATAATAAGTAAAGTAACTAAAGATTTACTGCTTCTTGATCAATGAGATGGNAAAAATGTTTATTCAGAACTGTGATAAAATAACGATTCGCTAATTACGAAACACATAATGAAACAGCGATTATTAGGAACAACATAGGTTTCAAACTGGTTTGTTTTTATACCACCCTACCTTCCTCAATAGTCATTTGCAGAATTTTGATGCTTTTTTTTAATCGTTTAAAAATGTATCCGTTACCTTCAACGTGTGTAAGATTGAAACGATTTGAAAAATGTTTATTCAGAACTGTGATAAAATAACGATTCGCTAATTACGAAACACATAATGAAACAGCGATTATTAGGAACAACATAGGTTTCAAACTGGTTTGTTTTAATACCAACCTTCCTCAATAGTTATTTGCGGAATTTTGATACTTTTTTTAATCGTTTAAAAATGTATCCGTTACCTTCAACGTGCGTAAGATTGAAACGATTTGAAAAATGTTTATTCAGAACTGTGATAAAATAACGATT